CGGCGCCGGCTCGAGGTTGACCAGCGTGACCACCACGCCCTCCACCTGCTCGTTGGGGGCGAACTTGTCGCTGAGGTAGGCGCGCACCTTCACGAAGCAGCGGCGGCGCTCGGGCACGTCCAGGTTGAAGAGGCGCCGCTCGCGGATCTCCGTGTTGCCCACCAGGAAGACGCGCTCCTCGCGGCGTGCCCGGCCGCCGCCCGGGGCCCCCTCGCGCCGGAAGCCGCCCTCCTCCTCCCACAGGCCGGTCCCCGGGTTCAGCGACCAGAGCTTGAGGGCCTCCACGTGGCCGGCCATGCGGATCTGGTCGGCGGCCACCCGCACGGCCACGGGGCCCGCGTGCAGCTGCTCGGCCGAGCCGGGCGCGCGGAGGTCCACGGAGAACATTCCGTAGGTGCGCAGCGGCGCCAGCTCGCCGTCGCCGTCCACGAAGCGCAGGTCGCTGGGGGCCGTGTCCGCGGAGCCGAGGTCTCGGGGGTCCACGAACGTCACGCGGGCCTCCACGGGCCCCGCGTAGGGGCTGCCGTCGGCTCGGCGGAAGGCCCCGGGCGGCAGCACTAGCTCGCCCAAGGGGCCCGCCGCCTCCAGCTCCCCCAGGGGGATCGTGTGGCTCCGGCCGGCCTCCAGGATGACCGGGGCTCGCTTCCGCATGGCCTTGACCTCGTGGTACACGCCGGCCCCCCGGGGGTCGAAAGGCAGCACCCGGACAGCATCCACGAACTCGCCGCTGGGGTCCACGAACGTCACCACCAGCCGCTCGCGGGCTGGGGGCACCTCGATGGTGAAGTCGCCCTGGTAGGAGGTGAAGCCGACGGGCTCGGGGCCCACCAGGATGCGGGCGAAGTGCAGGGGCTCCCCCGAGTCGGCGGCCACCACGCGGCCCCGCACCAGCCCCCGGGGGGCCAGGCACTTGCGGCAGCCGCACTCGGCCACCACCTTGACCGGGAGCAGGGAGCCCGAGCAGCGGACCTCCCGCTTCTCCAGGCGCTGCACCGAGCAGCAGCGGGCAGGGCTGTCCCCGCACCGGGCCCCCGAGCCCGCCGTGCCGGGGCAGGGGGTGTCGGGGCAGTGGCCCACGTTCAGGTAGGCAGGGCCGCCGCCCGGCTGAGCGCAGTCATCCGGCAGCCTGATGAGGTGTTCCAGGGGCTGGGGGTCGCAGGCTGGCTGGCCCGGGGCTGGGGGACCAGAAGAGGGCCAGGTCAGGGCTCTGCTGCGGGGGGCGGGGGGGACGGGCTCAGCCTGAGCCCCAGCTTAGCACCCGTGGGTGGAGGCTGGGGTTGGACGCAGAAAGCAGTCTCTGGGACCCTGTGTGGGGGCGGGGCTTGGCTCGCGGTCAGGGCTGGCCCGGGAGGGGGCCCCCGCGTGGCTCACCCAGCACGGTGAGCTGGGCCGTGCCTGAGCGCACGGCGCCTGCCTCGTTCCACGCCTTGCAGTGGTAGCTGCCCGCCTGGTCCGGACGCAGGCCCCGCAGCTCCAGGTGGGAGCCGTACCTGTGCTGTCGCCTGTCCAGCAGGGTCCCATTGTGGAACCTGGGGGGTGAGCAGCACCGTGGGGACCCTGGGCGCGGGTTCCCCCCTCCCTCCCAGGCCAGCGCACTCTCCCCGGGGCGTCTCTGAGGCGCCCATGGGCACTCACCACGAGTATTTCTTGGGCGTAGGGGTCCCCGAGGCTTTGCAGCACAAGGTGACGTTTTGGCCCGCAGCCCGCACTCGGGACTCCGGGTGCTTCACCAGGTAGGGCTTCTCTGGGGGGCCGGGGTGGGGGGACAGGGGTCAGGGCCCTGCCCGCACCCCCACCACCTGCTCCCTCGGCCGCGTTGCACGTCACCTACAGTGTCCCTACCTAACTGGTGAAGGATGACGGTGACCACAGCCGAGACGGAGCTGTTGGCCTGGGCCTGGGCGGCGCCCGCGGAGAAGCCATCCATCTGGGCACTGACGTTGGTCCGGCTGCTGGCGCAGACCCCAGGCACCCGGAAGGCCCCTCGGGCATCGGTGGTCGCCACCACGTCAGGGTCATCTCGCAGGGAGACCCTGGCTCCCGGCAGCGGCCGGCCAGACGGGGTGAGCACCGAGCCCAGCAGGGTGTGGTCGGGGCACCCTGGGGGACGGGACACAGTGGGGCAGAGGCCTCCTGGGGAGGGGCTGTGCTCAAACGCAGCGGCAGCCACAGCCCCAAACTGCGGCCCTCAGGGGCTGGGGGACCCCTAGCGTGGAGGGGCCGAGCAGGCGGGGCGGGAGGGGGTGTCTGGGGAGTGAGGGAGGGGAGACCTGACGGGGGAGGGGAGCAGGAGCCGCCAAACGCCTGGCGAGGGCTCGGGGGCGCTGGGCGGGGGGCTGGGGCCACGGCCAGGACACCTCCCAGCGCTGCCAACGCTGCGGTTTGTCCATAAAACGGAAAATTCCACTGGTAACGTCGGGGCAGAGGCGCCAGGAGGGCAGAGCCCCCCCCACGGGCCACCGCGCCCCGCCCTGCGCAGGCCCCACGGGCACAGCTTCAGGTCAGGTCGCGTCCGCCGTGCCTGGGCCCCGGCGTCCCATCCGCCAGGGCATGGGCGAGCGCGTGTCGGCGTGGGCGTGGGCGTGGGCGCGGGTGTGGATGCGGGAGCCACGTGCTTGTGCGCTACTCCACCCACCCCCCCCCCCCGCGCGGGGAGCGGCTTCCGCGGACGCCCGTGCGCGCACACGGGAGAGGCGCCGTCCTGGGTGTGGCCCCGTCCGCCTGCGCACGACCCCCGTGGCGGCCCCACGTGCGCGGCATCCTGCGCCAGGCTCCATCCTCCCCCGCGAGGCCCCGCCCACCGGGCGACGCCCCCGCGAGGCCCCGCCTCTCCTACCTGGGCACTGGGGCCGCACGCACTTCTGCGCCTCCAGGGGGCGCCCCGGACAGGCGCCGCCGGCGGGGCTTGGGCAGCTGCGGCGGCGCAAGCGACGGCCAGGCCCGCAGCTCCCTGAGCAGGGACCCCAAGGGCCCCACGCGCCCCACGCGGCCTCTGCGGGTGGCAGGAGGGTGGGTGGTCAGGCGGATCCGTCTGGATCCCTGGTGACAAAGCGGGGCCCCGGCCGGCGCTGCCCGGGTGCGGCCCCTCCCGCCCCCAGGTAAGCTCCGTGAGGTCAGCCCGGCGCCCCCCCACCCCGGGATGGAGCCATCGCAGATGGGCGAGGGGCGCTTCCGGCCGTGCCCCTGCGCCCCACCCTCCTCCCAGGCTCTCTCTGGCCCCTGCTCACCGCACTCTGCCCTCCCAGCACCCCCCGGGCCCCAGCCACCTGCGCCCGCGCTCACCGAGCGGGCAGCGGAAGCGCACGTGGTAGTTGGAGCAGCGGCGGCCGCGCGGCTGCTCGCGGTTGAGGCACCAGAAGCCGCGCGCGGGGCTCAGGTGCACGCGCTCGCCCACGGCGGACGGCAGGGCCCAGTCGGTGGTGCGCGCCTCCAGCGCCAGCGGCCGCGGGCACACGCGCGTCGGCCCGTAGTAGAAGCGGATGGCGGCCAGGCTCTCGAAGTCGCCGTCGCCTCCCGGGTGGTCCACGTTGAACCAGGACGTCCACTCGCTGGCCTCTGCGGGCAGCGCACGCGCTGGGAAACCGGGCCACGGCCTGCCGGGACCCCCGCCCCGCTGCGCTCTGTGGGGAGGGCCCTGCGTGCCCGCGGGCCGCCCCCTGACCGGACGCTTGGGGTCCTCCCTTCCTGGAGCCGCGGGGTCCCCTCCTTCCGTGACCTCCCCACGCCCCGCCGCTGCTGACCCAGGCCCAGGTGGACTCACCTTCCCAGCCCTCCAGGGTGGGCGAGGGCTGGCCCTGCAGGCCCCAGGCGGGCCCCGGGGGCTCCTGGGTGGAGGCGGCGTCTTTGGGAGGGGGTGAGGAGTAGTGAAGGGAGCTGACGGGGGGCCGCGGTGGCCGCCTCTCGGGCTCCGGTTGTCGCCGTTTTTGTGGGGAAAACGAGACCTGCGAGGCCAGAACTGAACTCCGGCCGGGGGGGGGGGGTGTCGCGCCTCCTCCAGGAAGCCCTTCAGGCCTGCCCCAGGCTCCTGGGCTGACTCCGCTGGCCCAGCCAGGCCTTCCTTTCCGAGTGTTGAGCTGGCCGAGCCTCTGCCCTCAGACTGGCCAGCTGGAAGTCCCTCCCTCAGTCTACCTCCCATCCTTGCACTTGGGGCCTGAGCGGCTAGCGGTTAGTGCTGGGCTGCCCGCCGGGAGACCGCAGGGGCGGCCCGGACGTCGTCCAAGCCCCTTCCTCCCCCGACTCTCGGCGCTCTGTCCCGGGGCCATGCAGGTGGGGAGTGGCCCGGGCCCCTTCTCTGCCCCCGAGGAGGGAGGGGCGCGGATGAGACCCTCGGCCCGCCGCACGCGGGACTGGAGCCCCCTCGTGCCCCCAGCCCACAGGCGACGGGGACCCAGGCATGCGCCGCGGGCGCCTCACCTCGGGCACTCGCCAGGTGCGCGGCTGCCACACCGAGGCAGAGCAGGGGCAGCAGGGGCGCCATCGCCGGCTCCGAGCGTCCCAGCGAGGGTCCGGGCTCCGCGGCGCGCCCGGGGCTGACTCGGCGGGGTCTGGCGGCCGCGGGGGACTGAGGGAGGGGGCGGGGCGCGCCGCAGGCCACGCCCCCGGCGCGGGAGCCGCCCCCCAACCCCTGGTCGCCCCCCTCGGTGCGTCCGGCTGTGCCTCCGCCCTCCAGCTGGCCCAGGCTTTCTAGTCGCCGGCGGGAGCGCCCGCCCCGTGCCCTCAGGTGGGCCCGCGGCGGCCGTGCGGGCTCCGGGCCGCCTGGAGCAGCCCCAACCCGCGTCCTCCTCGCTGGAGCCTCCCCGGGACAGCAGCGCCAAGTCCCCGCCCGACGGCACCCCGGGCCCCGACCCCGCGCGCCCCCGACCCCGGCGCACGCAGGAGGCGGAGTCGCGGCGCAGGTGCAGAGCAGGTGTTTATTGGCGCGGCCGGCGCGGCGGGGGTCAGAGCGCCGCCACGCAGTCGGTGCCCGCGTACCCCGGCAGGTGCAGGGCGAACTTGCGGCGCACGTCGTCCGGCACGAACCTGCCCGCCACGAAGTGGTGGCGCCCGGAGAAGCGGCGGGCGCAGCGCTTGGGCGCCGCCAGCGACACCAGCACGTCGGGCTGGAGCCCGTCCTCCGCTTCGGCGCCGGTCTCCGCGTCCCAGCCTGAGGGAGGAGGGCGAGCGGGCGCTGTGGGGGGGGGGGGGTCGTCTGTCCTCAGACTGGAGCCCCGGCCCCACCTTCCCTGTCCGACGCGGGGCCCGGGCCCCGCCTCCGATCGCGTCCTCCCCGTCTGATATCAGCCTCTGCCCTCTGACCCGCAGGTCTCCGTCAGGCTTTCCTTGGAGTGGTTCCCGCCTCTGCCCTCAGACTCTTCTGCTCTCACTCCTGCCCTGCTACTCCACCTCTGCCTTCTGACCTGACATCTGTCCTGTCCTGCCCTCCCCATTCGGGTCCCCCCACTAGACCCCCCCCTCAGATCTGCCTCCATCCCCAGGCAAGCCTCCCCCCTCTGACCTGAGAGCCCCGCTAGACCCCGTCAGTGGGCCCCAGCCTGTCACCTCTGGGATGAGCCTCCACCTTCAGTCTAGGGCCCCCGCCTTCTCTCCTGCCTCTGACCTGAATCCGGGGTCACCGAGTGGAAGCCACCGGCTCCTCCATCGGACCCGACTGCTTCCGAGACCCCGGCCTCCACCCTCAGACTAAAGGGCACTCTGTCCCACACGGCCCGCTCAGACACGGGGCATGCAGCCTCCCCTCTCAGACCAGACCGCCCCCGGAGCCGCCGCAGGCTGGGGGACACCCCCGGAGTCCAGCCTCCCCCACGGAGGCCCGGCGCGGGGCTGTTTGTTCCGACCGCGTGTCGCCTAATGGCTCCAGCAGGCGCGGGGCGGCGGCCAGGGCGGGCGCGGCCTCTGCTGAGTGAGCTCACGTCTGCCCGGGCAGCCGGGCCAGGGGTGGGCAGCGGGCACTCGAGCTGGGCATGGGGGGTGGCGGGGGCCCGGGTCACCTGGGGGCAGCTGCCCCGTCTCCCCGTCCTCGGGATGCCCATGACCCTGGGCCTGCACTGCAGGGGGTGCGGGGCCCCCCTCGTGCCTGAGGGGATGTCCAGGCTCACGAGGGGGACGGAGAGCTGCTTGAGCGTGGCCAGCGCGCGGGTGCAGGGGCCCCCGACGTCTCCCGGCCGCGCGCCGGGGCCCAGCACGGCGTCCACCACCAGCCCGTAGGCATCGTTAATGAGCTGCACCTGGGGGGGGGGGCAGGGTCAGAGGGCGGCCTCGGGGCGCCCCCCGCCCCCGCCCGTGCTCGCCGTGGCCCGCGCGGACCTCCGTGGGCAGGTAGGACAGGAAGGGGATGTCCATCTTCTCGCACTGCGTGGTCAGGTCCCGGTGCAACTCGTCCAGCGAGCGCGTCGGGTAGAAGACGCTGGGCTCGTACTCCTGGGGTGCGGGAGGGTCGGCGCTGGGGGCGGCCCGGGCAGGCGGCCGCAGCCCCCCGCCCCCCGCCCCCAGGGCCCGGCTACTCACAAAGGCCCGCAGGTGCCGGGCGCACGCCAGCCCCACCGCCCCGTTCTGCTCCGGCCCGCACACCACCAGCACCGTCCTCTGCTTCCGGGAGGGGGCGGGCAGCGGGAACACCTGGCGGGGGCGCAGCGGAGGCCCGGGCCTCAGTTTCCCCGCGGGAGGCAGGGGCCTCGTCAGGCTGCGCCAAGCCCGCGCTGGCAAACGCGCCTCCCGCCCCCGCCGGCAGCCCCGCGGTTTGTTTACCCTCGCCCGGCTGCAGACATTTTCCACCGCGGCGGCCCCTCCCCTCCCGCGCGGCCAGGGCTCGGCCCCTCCCGGAGGCCCCGGTGTGCGTGTGGGGGGCTGTCCGAAGGCCCGGTGCCTCTGTCCCTGCCCACTGTACTATTATTTGAAAGGCAGAGTTCCAGAGACCCGGAGGGAGACCCTCCTTCCCAGAGGGCTGTAACAGCCACAGCTGCACCAATCCGGTCTCCCACGCGGGTGCAGGGGCCCAAGGACCTGGGCCATCTTCTCCTGCTCTCCCAGGCCACAGCAGAGAGCTGGATCGGAAGTGGAGCAGCCGGGACTGGAACCGGCGATGGGATGCTGGCACCGCAGGCCGGGGCGTTACCCACTACCCACAGCTCTCTACTATCTTATTCAGAAAGGCAGAGACCTCCATCCCCTGGGTCACTCTCCAGACGGCTGGGTCAGGAGCCCAGAACCCCATGTGTGGGGGGCAGGGGCCCAAGCACCGCTGTCTCCCGGGGTGCACACGAGGGAGCGGGGATCTGACGCAGGGCTGGGACGTGAGCCCAGGCCCCGCAGTAGGGGCTGTGGGCGCCCCCACCCGCTCCGGCCCTCCCCTCCCCCCGAAGTCGGAATTAAGGCAGCAGGTGTGGGGGCCTGAGCCGTGGCACAGCAGGTAAAGCCGCCGCCTGTAGTGCTGGCATCTCATGGGCGCCGGTTCGAGTCCCGGCTGCTCCACTTCCGATCCCGCTCTCCGCTCTGCCCTGGGGAAGCAGAGGAAGACAGCCCAGGTGCTGGGAGACCCAGAAGCTCCCGGCTTCAGCCTGGCCGAGCCACCTGGGGAGTGACCAGCAGATGGAGGGTTCCTCTCTCCAACTCTGCCTTTCAAAGAAAAATGAAATGGACCTTGAGGAGTGCAGCCGTGTGGCTCCTCACCCTCCTGTCCAGGGTACCCAGTGGGCGTGAGCACCGTCCCCACAGGGATGCCCATGTCTGGAGGCCAGGTGTGGCCCCAGGGCTGGCACAGGGAGCCAGGGGTGGGGGGCAAGCCTCGGCTCCAGGGTCTCGGCACGGTCCCACCCTGCCACTGACGCAGGCCCGAGCCCAGGGCTGTGTCTGGGGGGGCCAGGGCTCGCGGCGCACTGCCCGGGCAGCTGTCGCCCAGCACAGACGCGCTCACTGCGCTGGGTGTGCTCCTGCGGCTTTGCTCTCTCCTCTCTTCACACGGGGCAGGTTTAGAAACACAAACATTTAAATAAAAAAGGAGGGGCTGGTGCCCTGCCATGGTGGGTAAAGCCGCTGCCTGTGGCACTGGCATCCCATATGGGCGCCGGTTCTAGTCCCGGCCGCTCCACTTCCCATCCAGCTCTCTGCTGTGGCCTGGGAGAGCAGTGCCCCTTGGGCCCCTGCACCCGCGTGGGCGACCTGGATGGAGCTCCTGGCTCCCGATGGGTGCAGCTCCGGCCATCGTGGCCATTCGGGGAGTGAACCAGCGGATGCAAGACCCTCTCTAACTCTACCTTTTAAATAAGTAAATACATATTTAAGAAGTTGAGTCATAAAGATACTGTTTTTGAAACAGTATACAGTTGCGGCCAAAGACCGGGTGGGGGGCGGGACTGGCTCCGTATGGGGCACCTCCCATGACTCCGCTCGCTCCCTGCACCCTGCACGGTGCCTGCTACCAGCCCCGTCCTCAGGGGGCACAGCTGCGGCCCTGGGCGCTGTCCCTGGACCTCGATTCTCCTCTCCGTGGTGTGGGCTGGCCGCAGGAGGACCCGCAGGCTTCTGGGAGGCCAGCCCGTCTTGCCCCCCGGGGTCCTGCAGCTGGTCCCGCTCGGGCGGCGGACGGCGGTCAGGTACCTTGGCCACAGCCACGGCGCTGGCGTGGCCGCACAACTCCACCAGCTGCTGCCGCCCGAAGCGATAGTCTTCCAGCAGCTCCCGCTCCAGGGCGGCTGCCTCTGCGGTGCTGGGGGCCGGAGAGGGAGGGAGGCAGGGACGCGGGGTCGCCCCGCAGACGGACACTCAGATGGAGCCGGGAGTGCCCCCGTGTTCCCCACGGGGCTGGCCGCGGACCCCCTCCCGCTTCTTCCAGGCTGGAGCCGAAGCGCGGGCGCCCTCTGCTGGCCGACGATGCGAGTGCGGCGAGCGCTCATTCCCTCGTCGGAAGCGTGGAGAACAGACCACCTCCCCAGGTGCCCCCAACCCCGTTCCCAAGAGGAATGGGGGGTGGGGGCGACGGGGCTTTGATGGGGCCCTGGGTTGACTTCAGGCCGCGGGAGTCCCTGAGCCGGCGCCAGGACGTCAGAGGGTGGTGGAGGGCTGCAGAGTTGGGTGGCTCACGCGGGGGCAGACGGGGGACCTGCGGCTACAGCGCCCTTGGCTCAGCCCCTTGAGGAATATTAGAGGCCGGGAAGCTGGGGCCCCCACCGGGCCGAGGGCCAGGGGCTACCTCACCCAGGGTAACTGGCGGGACCTGGGCAAACACGGAGGCTAATCCTCCGCCTGCGGCGCCCGCATCCCATGTGGGCACCGGTTCGAGTCCCGGCTGCTCCGCTCTGATCCAGCTCCCTGCCGTGGCCCGGGAAAGCAGAAGATGGCCCAAGTGCTTGGCCCCTGCACCTGCGCGGGAGGCCCTGAAGCAGCTCCTGGCTCCAGATTGGCCAGCTCCGGCCATTTGGGGACCAGCAGATGGAGGACCTCTCTCTCTGCCTCTCAAATAAATAAATAAAATCTTAAAAAAAGAAAATAAAGAAAGATAAGGAGACCTTAGGTATGTCCCCAACATTTAAAAAAAAAAAAAAAGCGAGGGCAGAATTAAGCCAAGCACAGGGACCAAGCCGGGCCTGGCTTCGTGGCTCCCAAGGAGAACTGGGGGGGGGGGGGGGGGGGTGCTGGCATGGAAGCTGCTGATAGTCCAGAATCAGGGGCTGGGTCAGCCTCCCCCGGCCAGGACCCCTTCCCTTCCTACTGGGGACACCCGCAGGGAACCACCACGACTCCGAGGAGCCAGATGGCTGTGCAGGCCCACGCTGGAACCCAGAGGGAGTCGGGGAGGGCCAGACCTAGAGGGCAGGGGCCGGACGGGACGGTTTTGGGGCGTGACCGGTCAGGGCGGCAGGTGGACAGAGAGCAGCAAGGGCTGGGAGTCAGGGAGGGCTTCCTGGAGGAGGTGTGCAGCTCTGTAGGAGGGGACCCAGGGGCAGGACCATCCAGGGCAGCCGCAGCAGGTTCGGCCATGCAGTCAGCACTACACTGGGTCTCCGCGGGTTGGGGAGACGGGGCCCCAGAGCCCCAGAAGGCCCTGGGCCTGCAGCTGATGCAGGGTGAGAAACAGCTCACCCCGCCTGCACCTCCGGAGTTCTGGCTGCTGCCCTGCCACCCGCGAGACCTCCGGCAGCTCTGCGTGGAGTGGGGCCAGAGGTGACCTCAGGCCGATGGGAGCTGGACCTGTCCCTCCCCAAACGCTTCAGGGAGGGCGCAGGTGCCCAGGCCGGGCGCTGCCGCTCGCTGGGACGCGCGGCTCCGCCCACCTGGCCGCCCGGCACTCAGCAGGTGCACACCTGACGTGCGAGCGGCTCAGCCTGCAGCCTCCCGCCCCAGAAAAGGCCACCCGGCCCGAGGCGGAGAACCGCCCCGCGGCCCAGCCGTCCCGGCCCCGGCCCCTCGCGCCTGCGCCGCCGGCCTCCCCGGCCCCGCTTCCCGGCTGACCTGAGGAAGCGCCGCTCCTCGGCCGCCGCCGCCGGAGCCCGGCCGCCCGCGCCGCTCATGGCCGCGGTGAGCGCGGCGGCCGCCGCCACCGCCTTTAAACAACACGACCAGGGGGGCGGGCCTTCCCTCCCGCCAATCAGGGAGCGCCGCAGAGGCGCTGCGCGTGACCATTGGCCGGCGCCGCCGCCGGTCAGCCAGGCCGTGGGAGGGGCTCCCGCCGCGGCCGCCCCCTCCCCCGCGCGCACCCCAGGCCGCAGGACACGCGCAGGCGGGGTGCAGCGTTTATTGCCCGCGGGCGGCGGGACACGGCCCGCGAGGCGCCCGCTACGTGTACCACGTGAAGCCGTGGTTGGCGCTGAGCCTCTCCTCGGCGGTGCGCAGCCCGTACAGCTCCCCGACCATGGGCGACACCCAGCGCGTGGTGTGGAACACCGACTCGCCCACCTGCGGGGGGGGGCACATCCGTGGGTGCGGGCTCCCCCCGGCCCCTCCCCGCCAGCCCCCCCCCGCCCGCCGAGGCCCCACCTTCCAGTCGGGCACCTCCTTCATAATGACGGCCTCCTCCTCCAGGTTCTCCCGCAGGAGCTGCAGCACCCTGGGGGGGGGTAGGGGGCTGAGTGCCTGCAGGGCCCCCCTCCTCCTGCGGGGTGGGCGGTGGGGCCGAGTGCCTGCAGGGCCCCCCTCCTCCTGCGGGGTGGGGGGGGGCTGAGTGCCTGCAGGGCCCCCCTCCCTCCTGCGGGGCGGGGTGGGGGCTGAGTGCCTGCAGGGCTCCCCTCCCTCCTGCGGGGCGGGGTGGGGGCTGAGTGCCTGCAGGGCCCCCCTCCTCCTGTGGGGTGGGGGTGGGGGGGCCGAGTGCCTGCAGGGCCCCCTCCTCCTGCGGGGTGGGGTGGGGGCTGAGTGCCTGCAGGGCTCCCGGGAAACCATGCTCCCCGACCCCGTTCTGCCCGGCCCCTCACTGTCTGAGGGCGCAGGGCGGGCCCCCCGCAGCCCCCACGCACCTGCGGTCCTTCTCGGCCTGCAGCAGCGGCATTAGCGCGATGCGGGCCTCCAGGTCCTCGATGTGCAAACGCCTGCGGACCCCAGAGCAGGGCCCGGGTCAGCCCCGGCTGCGGGCGCCGGCCCGGGCCACCTCGTCCCCAGAACTGCTGGCTTCACGCTTTCTGCTCAATTAAAAACTTTTACCCTAAAAATAGCGCTGCCTGCTGACCAGGGCGGAGAAGGGGGCGCGGGGCGGGGGCAGGCCTCACACAGTCTCCTCCTCCTCTTCTCTCAAAATAGCCGCGGGGTGCAGCCTCCTGGCAGCTTCCCCGCCGTCAGTGCGCCCCGTCCCCGCCCCCTCCCACCCCTGTGGGAGCGGCGCCCGTGACTTGGCTCAGGGCCGGGGTGGGGGTGGGCACCCTCTACCCCACACCGCCGCCGCCTCTTGGTTCGGTTTCTAAGCTCCGATTCTCGGCCCGGCGCGGTCAGCACCAGCAGCAACCTGCTTAGCGGCGCGCGGCTGAAGGGGGTGCAGCTCCCGGCGAGGGAACCCTAGAAACGGGAGAGGGGTCAGGGCACCCCCCCACCCTCGCCCCCGCCCGGCCCCTACCTGCGCTCGCGGTTCCACTTCATCATCCCCCAGTACCCGAAGAGCAAGGTCCCGATGCCCACCGCGAACATGCTGTAGCCTGCGGAGACCGAGGCCCGCTCAGTGCTCCAGGAGGGACCCCCCCCCCCCGCCCCCAGCGCGGCCCGGCCCCCTCCCCCTCAGGAGGGGCTTCGGGAGGGCGCAGGCGCGGGATGGGCGCGGTCGGTGGGCCTGCTTCCACCAGCTCCAAGGAGGTCCCGGTGCCCGCCCGTGTCCCGGTGCCCGGGGGCTTGGGGCTGCCTGGGCCCCGTGGGGTGGCACCAGGAGGGCCAGAGGCCCCCATATTTACCGAGTGCCGGGGGGGTATCTTCAGGCTGCCCTGCTCACCCCGCACCCCCACCCCCCATCTTTCAGCCTCCTCTCCAGATGGGTGTGGGGTTGCTCGGATAAATCGCAGGCCCGGCCCTGGCCTCGGGCGGGCGGGCAGGCAGGCAGGGGGGCTCCGGGAGCCGGGGAGGGGTGGTCCTCGCCTTTCCCACCCGGCTCGGCCCTGGCACAGGCTGCCCGGCACTTCTGCTGGGTGCAGCCATGCAGGTGGAGCCGCCTCAGGTCCCGCCCACTTGGTCCGTCCGACCAGCTAAAACCTCCAGGTCAGGGCTGGTGCTGACCCAGGGGGTTAAGCCGAGGCTCGGGGCACCCGCACCCGAGTGCTCACCCCAGCCCCGGCTGCTCCGGCCCTGCTAATGCACCTGGGAAGGCGCGGCTGTCGCGGGCATCTGGGGAGTGAGCAGGGCACGGAAGCGCTCTCTCTGCCTCTCAGAAAATAAACAAATCTCACCACAACACACCCAGACATTTCCCACCCGGGCACTGCGACCATCTGTGCTCAGAGGTAGGAGCCCCCAGGGCACTGCCTGCACCCAACCTTGTCCACTACAGGGGAGTTCCCGTCTCCAACAGCTGCAGACGCGAGGCCGCCCCCAGCCTCCCTGGGGAAATGGGCCCGGGAGCCCTGCGGCCCTCACGCAGGCCTATCTGGTCTTGGAGACTCCTTGATGGGGGCTCAGAAATGCGGTGGGAAAGTGAAATTACAGGGCAAGTTTCTTTTGGTGTAAACGCTGTGGAATCCGCACACGATCTTTTCATGTTTTCCCAGGAACTTTTAAACGCGCTGAGGTGTAGTGGGGAAAGCCACCATCTGTGGTGCCAGCATCCCACTTCCCATCCAGCTCTCTGCTGTGGCCTGGGAAAGCAGGGGAGGATGGCCCAAGTCCTTGGGTCCCTGCACCTGCGTGGGAGACCTGGATGGAGATCCTGGCTCCTGGCTTCGGATCAGCCCAGCTCCGGCTGTTGTGGGCATCTGGGGAGTGAACCAGCGGATGGAAGACCTCTCTCTCTCTCTCTGTCTCTGCCTCTCTATAACTCTGCCCTTCAAATAAATAAATAAATGTAAAAAAAAAAAAATGGCATCACAGGCAGTGGCTTTACCCTCTAAGCCACAGCGCTGGCCCCAATAAACAAACAAATCTAAAAAAACTTCACTCAAATTAACTTATCCTTTTTTAAAGATTTATTTATTTATTTGAAAGTTAGAGTTACATAGAGAGAGAGAAGGAGAGGCAGAGAGAGAGAGAGAGAGAGAGAGAGAGAGAGAGAGAGAGAGAGAGAGAGAGAGAGGTCTTCCACCCACTAGTTCACTCCCCAATTGGCTGCAGTGGCCGGAGCTGTGCTGATCCGAAACCAGGAGCCAGGAGCTTCTTCTGGGTCTCCCACGTGGGTGCAGGGCCCAAGGACTTGGGCCATCCTCCACTGCTTCCCCAGGCCACAGCAGGGAGCTGGGTGAGAAGTGAGGCAGCTGGGTCTCGAACCGACGCCCCTATGGGATGCTGGCGCTGCAGGCCAGGGCGTTAACCCACTGCACCACAGCGCCAGCTTCAACTTATCCTTTAATTACATTTCCCATGAACTTTCTGAAGGACCCTGGTATTTCCTTCCTCTGTGGGAAGGCCAGGGCCAAGGGGGGGCCTGGGCTCTGGACTGGGGGGAGCCTGGCTCTGGACTGGGGGGGCTGGCTCTGAGCTGGGGGCGCGCCCGTGGGGCATGTGCAGGGTGAGGCCGGTTTTCTCCCTTCTTTTGAAAGTTGGGGGGAGGGAGAATGGGGAGGAGACGGGGCAGGATTCCCACTGCTGGTGTACCCTCACATGCCAACAGCGCGGCGGGGCCAGGAGCCGGGCGCCCCATCCGGGCCTCCCGCGGGGGCGGCAGGGCCCACTCTGCCGTGCAGGTGCAGGAAGCTGGAGGCAGAGGCGGACTCCAGCCGGGCACCCAACAGCCGTCCCGGGGCCATTCTGAACCTCCGAGAAAGGGCCACAGGGCCTGTGCCCGCGGGCGCCGGGCAGGGGACGCGGAAACTGCGGGTGGCAGAGCCCCCCACGACCCGCCCCCTCCCTTCCGGCCGCGCGGGCACCGGGAGCCAGAGCCGTCCCGAGGAAGAAGGCGGCAGGCCCGGGCGTCCCGACAGCGCGGGGCCATCCGCGGTGGGAGCCACGTGGGCACGGCCCCCTCCCTCGCGCGGACCCAGGAAACGGTTCCGCAGGGCGCGGGACGCACAAGCCAGCAAAGGAACGGCCCGGCGGGCTTCCTGACGATCAAGCCTCCCTGCGGCTCCATCCCGAGGGCGCCGAGGGGAGCGGCTCCCGGACCCCTGGGCCTTCCGGCTCCGCGATCAGAAGGCGGCCCCCGCACTGCGGACCCGCCACCAGGCCGCACGCCTGAGTGGAGCGGGGTCTCACGGGCTCAGCCTGGCCGCGGCGGGCATCTGGGGAGCGAGCCAGAGGAGGGAGCGCTCTCTGCCGCTCAAGTAAGGTAATTAATTGTAAAGAAGTAGAAATGGAGTGGCTCTGTAGCACAGTGGGTAAAGCCGCCGCCTGCGACGCCGGTATGGGCGCCGGTTCGAGTCCCGGCTGCTCCACTGACGGTCCAGCTCCCTGCTGTGGCTGGGAGAGCAGCGGAAGATGGCCCAGGTGCTGGGGCCCTGCCCCCGCGGGGAGACCCGGATGGAGCCCGTGGCCGTGGCCGCGGCTCAGGCCTGCTGTGGTGGACATCTGCGGAGTAACCGGCAGATGCCAGGTGCTCGGGTCCTTACAAAACCCGGGGCGCCCCTGCAGGCACAGCCGCGACGGCCAGCAGGCGGCGCCACCAGCGAGTGCTCAGGGACGGACGCATGGACACCTGAGCGCGCAGCGTCCACGCAGGGCGGTGGCTGTGCCTGCAAAGGAAGATGGACCTGGAGCCGGCCAGCAGGGGGCATCTCAGACCCCCACGGCCCGGACGGCACGGTGGGCCGCCCCCTGCAGCGCCAGCACCCCTCGCCTGGCAGAGGCCCGGCGGTCGCTCCCGCCCAGCTCCTGCTCACGCGCCTGGGAGGCAGGAAGGCGTCCAGGGCTCGGACCCCTGCCAGCCGCGCGGGAGACCCGGATGTAATTCCTGGCTCCCGGCGTCAGTCTGGCCCAGCCTGGCTGTTGTGGCCGCTCGGGGAGTAGCTCTGCCTTTCAGATAAATAAAGGTCTTCCATCCGCTGGTTCACTCCCCAGATGGCCGCAATGGCCGGAGCTGAGCTGATCCGAAGCCAGGAGCCAGGAGCTCCATCCAGGTGCAGGGGCCCAAGCACTTGGGCCATCCTCCACTGCTTTCCCAGGCGCATTAGCAGGGAGCTGGATGGGAAGTGGAGCAGCCAGGACTCGAACTGGCGCCCAAACGGGATGCTGGCACATCAAAGCTAGAGGCTTAACCCACTGCAAAACAACACAGGCCCCCTCAAATACATTTTAAAAATTAAAAAATAAACAGGGCCGGTGCCGTGGCTCACTTGGCTAATCCTCCGCCATATGGGAGCAGGGTTCGAGTCCCGGTTGCCCCTCTTCCAGGCCAGCTCTCTGCTGTGGCCCGGGAGTGCAGTGGAGGATGGCCCAGGTCCTTGGGCCCTGCACCCCATGGGAGACCAGGAGAAGCACCTGGCTCCTGGCTCCGGATCGGCGCGGCTCCGGCGGCTGCGGCCATCTGTCTGTCTGTCTGTCTCTGTCTTTCGAATTCGGATTCCCGGTCGCCGGGTGGGTGGGGGAAGCCCCGCACAGGGCCATTTCACAGACTCCCTCTGGGCTCTGCGTTTCGGCCCCAGCCCAGGCCTGGGGGGTCGCGCGGGGAGCTGCCGCCCTCGCCCGGGTCTCCGCGACCCCCGCCTGCTACGCCCACCTCAGTGCCACCCGCGGCACAATGGGCCGATGCCCGCGGCCGTGGGCGAAGCAAGCCCGGAGCCGAGCAGCAGCCTGGGCCCCGCGCTAGGTGAACCTGCCCGGGAGGCGCCCCCGCCACCCCGGCCCACGGCGGCACTGACCCGACAGTCCCCGACGCGGCAGGTTCCGCTTGTAGTCGATGGGGCCGTAGCCCCCCGGCGGGGGCATGTCCTGCTTCACCTTCGACGCCGCCATGCTCGCTGGACGCCGCACTTCCGGTCGCCGGCGGAAGTGACGCCATCGGGCCGCGCCGCCATGACGAGTGTGGCGGAAGCGCCGCCGGTGGAGCTGCCAGACTTCGCGGGCGGGCTGGGGGGTGCGGGGGGCGCGGCCGGGGAAGCCTAATTTCAGCTTCCCGCCGACGGGGTGTGACGCAGACGACCCCTAGGGGCTGAGGCTCCTTGCCCGCTAGCCCCTCGCGATGCACCGGAGAATCAGACACCCCGAACCCCCGGGGGGCGTCGGGGCCCCGGGCTGCTGGACCCCCTCTCGGGGCCCAGGGCTCCACAGGCTGGGGGTACGCGAGGTCGGGGGCGGCTCGCTGCTCCGCTTCGGACGCACGGGGAGGCACCGGCAGTCCGGGGAGGGGCTGTGCCCCCCGGTGGTGGTGGGGGGCGGGCGTCCTCTCTGCCGAACCGGCCGGCCGTGCAGGGCGATTGTGAGTCACAAGGCCGCACGTGAGGGGCTGTGCGGGGCCAGGGGAGCCCCGCGGGGCGGGGGTGTGTGTGCGGTCCCCGCCCCGAGAGGCGGAGTGACGCCCGCGGTCACTTCACAAGGCTGAAATTGTTACCGGGGTGATGTAAGGCCCCCGCGGCGGCGGGGACGCGGGAGTGGGCACATGGGGGTGCGGGGGTGCGGGTGCCAAGCGCCATGGGTTAGGCCCGAGATTGGAGTCCGGCCGCCCCCCGCTGCTCCCCGCGCGCCCCGCGCGCCACCATGTCGGGCGACAAACTCCTGAGCGAACTCGGCTATAAGCTGGGCCGCACCATAGGAGAGGGCAGCTACTCCAAGGTGAAGGTGGCCACGTCCAAGAAGTACAAGGGCACGGTGGCCATCAAGGTGGTGGACCGCCGGCGAGCGCCGCCGGACTTCGTCAACAAGTTCCTGCCGCGCGAGCTGTCCATCCTGCGGGGCGTGCGGCACCCGCACATCGTGCACGTCTTCGAGTTCATCGAGGTGTGCAACGGGAAGCTGTACATCGTGATGGAGGCGGCCGCCACCGACCTGCTGCAGGCCGTGCAGCGCAACGGGCGCATCCCCGGCTCGCAGGCGCGCGACCTCTTCGCGCAGATCGCGGGCGCCGTGCGCTACCTGCACGACCACCACCTGGTGCACCGCGACCTCAAGTGCGAGAACGTGCTGCTGAGCCCGGACGAGCGCCGGGTCAAGCTCACGGACTTCGGCTTCGGCCGCCAGGCGCACGGCTACCCGGACCTCAGCACCACCTACTGCGGCTCGGCCGCCTACGCGTCCCCCGAGGTGCTGCTGGGCATCCCCTACGACCCCAAGAAGTACGACGTGTGGAGCCTGGGCGTGGTGCTCTACGTCATGGTCACGGGCTGCATGCCCTTCGACGACTCGGACATCGCCGGCCTGCCCCGGCGCCAGAAGCGCGGCGTGCTGTACCCCGACGGGCTCGAGCTGTCCGAGCGCTGCAAGGCCCTCATCGCCGAGCTGCTGCAGTTCAGCCCCTCGGCCAGGCCCTCGGCCGGCCAGGTGGCGCGCAACGGCTGGCTGCGGTCGGGGGACTCCGGCTAGGGCAGGGGGCCCGCCCTGCCCGCCTCCCGGGTCGCGGCCGGCACGGCGCACGCGCAAGGGACGCCGCCGCGCTTCCGGGTTCCTGCCGCGCCGCCGCGCGCCACGGCGCACGCGCCCTGCCCCGGTCCCCCCCTCCCACGGCGGAGGCCGCAGCTGCCCCGCCTCCGAGGCTAGCTCCTCCCCCTCCTCCACCACGCCGAGAGCTGGAGAGCGCACGCGCGCCTTCGATTCCCCGCCCCCAGGCCCCGGGAGGGGCGGGGCGAGAACGAGATGGACGGCCTGCGCCTGCGCCTGCGCGGAACGAGCGACGGCTCCCCGGCCCGCGGCGTCCGGGAGGAGCTGCTGGGGGGGCGGCCGCGCGCCGACGGCGTCGCTCCCCAGGCGGCCGCGGATGCCCGGTTTCCCGTCGAGACCCGCAATAAACTTCGCTCTACCTCGCACCTGTTTCACGGAGCGCAGCGGGGAAAGGGGAGGCTGGCCCCGTTTGGAGAGAAACGCGTGTCCGGCTCCCGGCCGGGGGCCGGGGGCGAGCAAGCCCTGCTCGGCGAGGGCCCCCTGACCCCGAGGTCCCCCGGGGGGAGTAAGGGGCCGGCTCCTTGAACACCTGCTGTGTGACCAGGCCTGGACCCTGCCCTTGTCCGCGAGGCCAGTGGAAGGTCAAAGACGTGGAGGTCAAGTAGCTTCGAGCTGTAGCGATGCCAGGCGGGGGCGGGGGTCTACCCAGAGGGACCCCACAGGGTGGGTTCGCAGCCGCTGACTGCCCCTTTCCCTAAACCCACCTGTGTGCGGTCCCAACCGTGCCCAGCCCTGCTCACTCTGCAGCCCCGGGGACCGAGCGCCCCCCGCTCTCCCCTCTGCTAACGGCTGTGGCCCTGGTCCTGGCTGGACTTCCCTCACAGGGAGGGCGGGTGTTGGGAGGGGACGTGAAGGCTCCGAATTAAACCGCGTCCTCACCCCCCACCCTGCGGGCCTGGAGTCTGTCCGTCCCCACCTCGGGGCCTCTTCACCCATCTGTCCCCGCTCCACGCCCAGCTGTGTGGCTGGGGCCCTCTGCCCACCGGCGCTGGCTGATGGATGGGAGTGCAGAGCTCGGTAGCCAGGGGCCCGGGTCAGAAGGGACAAGGAGAAGCCGGTGAGCCCGGCAGGTGCAGCGGGACAGCCTTGGGGTTTAACTTCTGCCTTAGCCTGGGCTTCGCGAGCCCCAGAGGCCAAGCCCGGCACATCCTTAACACCGACGACAAGCGGTCAGCAGGGACTGCGGGAGCCCACAGTGCAGCAGGTGCCTCCTGCAGCCCGGGGCTGGGGGCGGAGAGAGAGGGGGGGGAGAGGAGCAGTCACACCGTGTCCCTCCCTTTATTGTCCTTTAGAGTCCGAAGCTCAGCATACAATGGACGCCAGCCACCCACGCGGCCTCTCTGGTGAGGGGAACGTTAATAGTGAAGATTCAGTCACAAAGAATGCGGGTGACAACCTTCCCCAGACAGCCCGCCCTGGTCTAACTTATTTCGCGGTGCGCGATGGTCCTGGGATGCCCCCTGGGGCCTGCCCCTGCTGGCCAGGTTCTGGGACGTTTTTTGGTTACGATGGGATTGGGGGGTGGGTGCTCCCAGGTTCCGGGGAGCGCGGGATCTGGACCCCAGCAGCGCTCGCTCACCCACACCCCGCCGCGGGGCCTCTTTCTTGGGCTCAGAGAACGTCACCCCGCCCCGCAGAGGGGGAACCCAAGCCAGTAACAGGTGCAGGACGGCCAAGGCCGGAAATGAAGCAATGACCGGGCAGCTCCCCCAGCTCAGTTCGTTTACGTCACAGCGTGCCATCCCTGACCCGGCCGCTCCCTGGGACGCAGAGGCGGGGCTTTGCCCGTCCCACCCTGCCGGGCCACAGACAAGGCTTGGAGGAACGGCCGGCCACGCTCAGTGAGGCTGGGAGCAGCGGGGCGTCGGCTCCGCACCCTGGGGCTCCCCGCTCCCGACTCGCTGCACAGAGCTCGGGACAGGGACCCGGCTCCCAGCCCTGCAGCAGGTGCTCCCCCGGCAGAGGCCTGGCGCCCCGACACGTGAGGACAGGCACGCGTGCACACTCTGCTGGTGTAAAAGCGCCCACCCCCACCCGCGGGCCCACCCCCCTCCAGATCCGCGGCTCCTGGAGTGGAAGCCGCCCACCAAGGGGACGCCCGTGAACCCACACGACAGGCGCCAGGGGTTAAATGAGCCTTTATTAGAATGTTGTAGCAGGTGTTGGAAGAAGGCGGCCCTACAAAATGAGGGTTTTAAATTAAAGTCCCTAACTGCGTCCTTAGGGAAACCGGGGCTGGAACTGACCAGGGACCACGGCCCCGCCCTCCAGTGCCGAGGGGCCCCGCCCGCGGCGCACAGACGGCGGCGTCCGCCTCTCCTTTCGGAACTGATTTGTAGCGAGTCGGAGGAAGGAACAGAAAGAAAAATAAAACTAAAAGCAGACCTGATCCTTAAAAAAAAAAAAAAAAAAAAAAAACGAAAACAGAAAACCAGACAGGAACACTGCAGCCGCTCAAGGGAGCACAGCCGTCTGCGGCCCCGGGGAGGAGGGCTCCGCGCCCCCCGCGGGGACCCGCGCACCTGCGCCTGCGCGGCGCCGCCACCCCCGGGCGCGCTCCCTGCCCGTGCGCACGCCGGGCCGGCTTACGATTGTGTCCATCAAATGACTAGGAAAGGAAAAGATTTAATAAAATAGAACCACAACAGCAACAACAGGAGCCCCGCCGGCCCTGCCCTGCCCTGCCCTGCCCTGCCCTGCCCTGCCCTGCCCTGCCCTGCCCCGGCCCCTGCTCGGCTCGGCGTGCTCTTCCGCTAAGTGCGAGGTCCGGGGTCGCGGGGACCAGCAGCAGTGGGGGCCCTGAGCCGGGGCGGGGCTGCGCGGGCTGTCCCCGTGTCCGTGGGCGGCCCACCCTCCGGGGCCGGGGGACCCACGCGTGAGCGGCAGGGGCCCCTGGGCCGGTACGTCCACTTCTAACTCCATCATCATGAGGTGATCAGGAAAAACAAAACAGAAACAACGTTCAACCTACGGACAGCCTGGAGGAAGGTGGTGGTGCGGGCGCCTGAGACCGGAGAAAGAAACAGGAACCCGCCCCGCGGCCGTGGTCCGCGTCCCGCCGGGCATGCCCAGCCCCGGGTCTGCTTGTCTGCTGGTGTCGGCAAATGAAAGGCAAAGGCAGAAGAACCCCGGAGGCCCGGCTCAGCCTCGTCCGCCTGCGAGGCCGCCGCTGCCCGAGCCGCCCAGAGTCGGGTCCTGCGCTCGGGCGAGCCCGGGGTCTTCCTGAGCGAGCGGAGGCGGCCGGGGAGCGGGAGCTGCCCTTCCCCGGGCCTGGCGCTACTTCCACGTGGCCGACTGCGGGATGGAGCGCGGCGGGATCATGTCCAGGAGGTACTCTCGCTGGCGGTCCACGGCCGACGACGCCTTGTGCACCAAGCCCGGGCTCACGAACGTGAGGGTCCCGCCTGCAACAGCACCGGGACAGCGGCCGGTCACGGCCAGGCCGGGCCAGCGCGGCCCGGAGCCCACGGCCCGACCTCAGAGCGGGTGCAGCTCTGGGCGCGCTGAGGGACACGGACTGGGAGGGCAGTGTCCGTCGCCCTGGGCCAGGCCATACCGACACGACCTCGCTGCCCAGCGAGGCCCCCTAGTGGCCGGGGTCGGCTGCTGTGTGGGGAACGTGTCCCGGATCCTCGGCCCGGGCACGCCCTCGAGATGGGCCTTTCCGCCGGCTCCCTCTGGCTTCAGAGCCTGACCTGTGCCGCCCGTGCAGTGCCCACAGTGCCCACTCGGCACGGCCGGCAGGGGAGGCGCCTGGGGCAAACGCCTGTCTGGGGCACCTGCCCACACGCAGCCCTGGCCTCGACATGCACTCTCTCCACTGGGCCCTGGGCATGTCCCCACCGCGCCAAGTGGGCTGTCGGGGTGCAGGCTGCGGGGACCCCGGCGCACGGAGCTCACCCGCCTTCACCTGTCCCTTCCTGCCTACCCTGGCTTTCCTGCTTTCGGAGGAAGTTTTAACATCCACGCTGTCTAGCACGTGTGAGTCCGAGCTGACCCCTCAGGGGAGGGGTGGGAGAGGGTGAGCCCAGGCGTGAGGGTGCCGCACAGGGCCGGGCCGCCCACCTGTGCTGAGGGCCGTCTTCTTCCAGTTGGAGGGGGCGCTGCCCTTGCCGGTGCCCGCGGCTCTCTCGGAATGTCTGCCGGCCCTGCTGACCGGGGTCCCAGTGGAGGCCGCGTTCTGCAGTTTCGGTGACGGGCTGAACGTGTGCAGGACGCCGCGGGCTGCTGTGGCCGAGCCCCGGGACAGCTGGCTGGAGGCCTGCAGTGGAGAGAGGGGAGGCGGCACGGTCAGCGGGGGGAGGGCGGCCCCGGCAGGGCGCTCGGCGCAGCCGCTCCTGGCTCTGGCTGACCTCTTCCCACCCACGCGGGCTCCCTGGAGACCAAAATCGGCAGACCAGCTAAGTTACACCAAGGGCGACAGAGGGCGTGGAGAGAGAGGGCGGGAGAGAGCGAGACAGACAGACAGACGCAGCAGCGTGACAGCCGGCGAGTGACGAGGCCACGGTGTGCGGTTGGGGCGCCGCGGTTCTGACCTGTAGCACGGCCCCGTTACTCCAGTCGCGGGCCTCTCCCGAGCGGAACGCCAACTTACGCCGCGGCTTTACGACCTACAGACGGGGGCGAAACGGAGGTCAGCAGGCCTGCGAGTCCCACGGTCCGCCCCGGCTCCCGGGGCCTGGGGAGAGCCAACGGCCAACGTCTTCCAGGGGAGCGCCAGGTTTGCAGAGGGGGGAAGAGAGTCACTAAAAAAATAAACAAGTAAAAAACCCCCAACAGCAAGCAGCTCCACGTGCAGCCTGAGCGCTCCTCCCGCACGCCCGGTCTCCGTGCGCTCCGGCCAGGGCGCGCCGCGAGCCGGAGCTCCGGAAGCTAGAGAAACTGCACATTAGTGTCTTCGCTGCCCAGCGCCACCATCAAGTGCGATTTAGACACGCAGCTGGCAATCAGGCGGCGGCCGCCGGCACGGCCCCGGTGCTCACCTGCTTCAGGGCGGGCTCGGCCTTGGCCTGCGCGGGGCTGGCGCCCTGCTGCAGCAGCCGCTGCTCCATCTCCTGCTCCTGCTGCAGCGCCTTCACGAAGGCGGCCTTGAGCCGGCTCGTGTGCTCCACCTTGAGCGCCTTCTTCTGGTTGGACGTCATGCAGCTCTCGCACATCACGGCCCCGCCCTTCTCCTCGCGCCAGCGGCAGGTGAAGTCCGTCTTACACTGCGCGCACACGTAGGGCTCCCGGGACACGGCGACGGCGGCTGGCACCCTGCCTGCTGCAAGGAGACACGGGGTGGCTCGCATCCAGGGGGTCGGGACCTGCCCTGCCCCCCGCCCCCTTGCCTGGGCACTGCTAGGCCACTGGAGACCACCAGCGCGGTCAGCGTGTCTGCACACACAGCAGGCACCCCCATGGGTGGACACGACGCTGAACCTCCAGAAAGCACCACGGGACGGGGCCCATGGCGCCAATGTGCCAATGACGTCGTGGCGCCAGCCTGGCCTCTCCCAGCCTCCAGTCCCCTCTCCAAAGCAACAGGAAACCACCGAGTTCCCCCCTCGCCAGCGAGCAGAGGGGTGGCCCAGTGAGTGCCTGCCTGGTGGTCTCCTTGTGGGGAGGGGCGCCCACCCCCCGTGAGGGGTCCCGAGGAGGTGCCCAGGCCGCACCCGGTGCTCAGGGACAGAGGGCCCAGAGGCGCCTGCACGGCTGTGGGGCGGACACTCTCGCCAGCATCCTGGTCCCAGCACTCGGGGCGAGACTGCCTCCTGGTCACGACGGACCACAGTGCTGGCCCTTGGCCTTCCCGCTCCCACCTGGCCTGCCTCATGCAATCCTGAGCGACAGACCCCGACTCTGGAAGCCCCACCCAGAGAGTGGGTGGGATGTCACCTGTCCCCGCCCCCAAGCCCAGGGCCTGCCTCGGGCCCTCAGCTCCAGGCCTCCACCTGGGGACAACAGCACATCTCCTCGCACACGTCCAGCCCCGAAGGAGGATGTGGTACCTGCTTCCCAGGTGGCTGCGGCCGGTGGGACCAGCACCAGAGCTGGGACATGGCGCGAGGCTGCGCTGAGCGCCCGGCCTGGGGTTCTGGGAGGTGTCAGGAGACGCCTTCAGGGAGGGCTCTGAGCCCCTCCCACAGTTAGGTCCTGTTTTTGGCAACAGGAGAGGGAGCCTGACCCCTGATGAGAGAACGAGCAGAGGCCTGTGCAAGCAGAGGGCGTCCGACTCGGGCCTCCTGCCCACCCTACCTACTGCAGACACCAGCCAGGCCCCGCCACCGCCCTCGCCTCCGCCGCTGGCCTGGGCTCTGGGCCCCCCGCCCCCCACTCCGTCAGCCGAGATGGGAGGTGGAGCCTTTCGGGCTGGGCTCACACTCGTGCCTGCTGTGAGTGCGGGTGGAGCTGCAGAGGCCAACCTGAGGTGCCCGTGGGGCGTCCAGCACTGTGGGGCTACCGCTGGTCTGGAGCCCATCTGGGTGCAGAGCCCCTGGGGAAGGGGGTGTGTCCTCCCAGCTCCTCCTCTCTCTGGTCCCACGGCAGGTGGGGAGGCCACGCTCTCCTCCGTACTCACCCCACCGCAGCCCCCAGCCCGAGCTGAGGGCTGAGCAGTGTGAAGCCCCCTGGACCCCCCCCCACTCCTGCACGGCCACCAGCATCACCACCAACTCTCAGGGCACAGCCACGGTGCCCGCCTCTCTCCAGTGCTGCTTTTGATCACGACCCAGCAACGGTCCCTCCCACACTGTCCCCAAAGAGGGGGACAAGGTGACCGCAGCCCAGGCGGCCATGTCCCTCTCCCCGCTGGAGCTCCCGGCATCAAGGATCTGCAAAGCTCTGCCTGGGGTGATGACCCCACAACTGCTGGGAACCCAGGCCTCCTGCAGACACCCGCCCCAGGCAGGCGTGGCTCTCAGCTCCCACCCTCCACGGCTGTGGGTGCACAGTGGGTGCTCCAGGGTGTGAGGTGCACTGCCAACCAGCCACAGGACGGAGCGGCCGCAGGGCCGGAGCTGGCCGGGCTCACCTTGGGTCTCCAGCAGGTTCTGCACCACCTCCTCCAGGCCCACCAGGTAGATGAACTCGTTGTTGGCGGCGCTGGGCAGGAAGTTCATCTCCGGCGCGGGGGGCTTGGGCGGGGGGATCTCGAGCAGCGTCTTCTCCAGCTGTTTGCGGAGCGCGAGCTTGGCAGCCGCCTGCCGGCTGGCTGGAGACTCGGCAGACGTGACCACCGCCGCCACGCTGGTGGGCGTGGAGCTGGCCTGAGCCGAGGCGGCCGACGTCCCCTTCAGCGATGCCGGGGTGGGCTTTGGGGAGACAACACCACCATCAGAGCACTCGAACGCCGCCCGAGGCGACTCCCCGGCGCCCCCATCAGCTGCGTATGGTGACAGGACTCCGAAGGGCGAGGCAGCGGGGACAGCGTGCGGAGTGGCGCAGGAGCCGAGGCTCGTCGGCACACGCCGCAGTGTCCAGCGCGCCGCGCACACACCGGCCACGTGGGCGGGGCTGCACTGCCAGGTTTCAGGTCCAGGTCTGAGAGGCCCCAGGCCCCACCCTTGCCCCTCGTGTCTCTGCTCCACACTGTACCCCAGGGCTGAACTCCCAGTGTCCGCTCCTGCCCCACAACTGTCCAGGGCTCTCCCCAAACTCAGAAGTGACCTCTCTGGTGTCCTCAGCTCCTTGGGGCTGGTGACCCCTGGACACCAGAGGGAAGCCTTGCACACCGCCCCAGGGAGGACGGGCAACTTGCGAGCAACATGCCTGGGAACCCAGGGGTCCACGGGACTTCCCAGGACCCCTTCTGACCGACAGCCGAGAGGCGACCCTGGCCGGCCCCACCTCTCACTGGCCAGCTCCTCCTCCCCCCGACCCTGTGGGCAGCCGATCCACCTGCCCCACCACCGCCCTCGACACACAGCACAGCAGGGACGGATGAAGACTGGCGGGCGGGTGGAATTGCAGTCGACCTTTTGTTCCGCCCAGGACGCCCTCCCGTGGTGGGTGGCACTGGCTCAGCACTTGTCAACCTTACAGAAGGCAGACGCCCCAGCCCGCTGGCCTTGCTTGTCTGAGGAGGGCGGGCAGGAAGGAGCGAGCACGCCCCCAGAAGGCCCTGCTGCAGACCCCGCAATTTCATGTGCCAGCCAAGGCCCCCGCGTCTCCTCCCTCCTGCTCCCAGGGGGCGGGGACGGACAGTCCCAGCCCAGGCTCGCTGCAGAGGCGGGGGACGTGTGGCTGAGAATAGATGTGCCAGTGCTCTGAGGACAGCCGCGGGCCTGCTTCCCTCACGTCCCCGCCGAGGACACCAGTCAGCGGGAGCCGGCTGTGGCGGACGGCCCCTAGCTGTCCCTAGGCCCCTGTCCACCTCCCCTCTCCCCCAGACCCGGCCAGACGCACACCCTCGCTCGTGCAGCAGCTACTCCACCTCTGCCAGACGCAGCCCTGCTCGGCACCTGCACCCCTACAGCCCCCAGGCGTTCAAGCCTAAGCCCCGGGGGCACCAGGGCTCCGCCCAGCTGGGGGCAGCAGGAGGCGGTGGCGCCCGGCCCCTCACCTGTGGGATGTTCACCAGCAGACTGGTGTTGGGGACGTTGGCCACACGGATGAGCCCCTGCTGGATGATCCTCTGTCCCTGGATCTGCACGCTGGGCACGGAGGCCCGAGGGGCCAGGAGGAGGGGCGGCGGCCCGGTGCTGGAATGTTGTCTGATGGTGTGGATTTGCTGTCGGGGGACAGGAGACGTGGCTGAGCCCGACCACGGGGCGGGCAAGGGCTGGCCAGGATGCCCTGTGGAGGCAGCCAGCTGCAGGGCCCGCCGGGACATGCGCGTGGGCCGCGCCGCTCACCTGGGCCCCGCGGACGAGGGGGGGCATGACGACCTGGGAGCTCGCCTGCGGCCCCAGCTTCGAGGACGCCTGCTGCCCGCCCCGAACCAGGGGCGGTGGGATCACGCTGCCGGGCATCCGCGTCGAGGTCTGTCAACGACACCCACGCCCACACTGCCCTGAGTGTGTGTGTGTGTGAAAACATTCAAAGGGCTTTGGTGGCACTGTGAAAGCATTCTACTGGTTTTTGTTGTTAAAAGGGTAGAAGATTAAGGAAAAAGAAAGTTAAAGTGCCCATTTCTTTCAAATGTGGACTGCGGCAGCGCCGGGCGCCCTGGGCGGGGACAAGCTGGGGACTCAGTCTGTGGGAAGAGGGAAGCCCCTTCCAGACTGCACTCCCAAGGCCGCAGTGCCCCTGCCCATCGCCCTGTGCGCAGAGGAGGACGCAAGCCAGGCCTGGGGCGGGGCGGGGCTGGGGGCAGCCCACAGGGAAGGAGCCTGTGCCGCTCCCCACCACGAGCTGGGACCTCTGGTTGGGCCACAGCTGCCGGCAGGAAAGCCTCACTGGAGCCCGCTCTGGGGGAGCGAGCGGCCGTCTGCCATCTCAGGCCCCCCCTCACAGCGGACCCCCCTCATGGCCGTCTGCCGTCTCGGGCCCCCCCCTCACAGCGGGCCCCCCCTCACAGCGGGCCCCCCCCATGGCCGTCTGCCGTCTCGGGCCCCCCCCCACAGCCGTCTGCCGTCTCGGGCCCTCCCTCACAGCGTGCCCAGGTGTCTCCAGCAGGAGGGACACTCACCTGAAGGGATGGCTTGCCCGCGGGAATGTTCTGGGTGCCCCGCACGAGCGGGGGAGGGGTGGTCACAGCGCTCCCGGTGGAGCCTACGGGCTGCAAGAGGACAGGGCGGGCGTGTGAGGGTGGCAGGGCACAGGGAAGTGAGCCTGCAGCAGGGGCTACGGGGGCCGAGCGGGGGCTCACGGCCTCCCTCCTGGGCCGCTTCCTGAGACCCACAGCGAGCCTGGAGGCCTGCTCTGCTCCCAGGGAACACAGGAGCCAGAGGCGGCCCCGCGCATCAGGTGAGAGCACGGGCCAGCTGTGTGGGTTTCAGGTTCCACCGGAGACACACCGGGCCCCAGCTTTGCTCACTGAGGCCAGACAAACACGCGGGCTCCATCCACCTCACTTGCAAACTGGAGGACGGGGCGTCGAAGCCAACTCCCGGTCAGATGAGGGAGTGCGTCCCCTGGCCTCTCCCACACAGCCCTCAGCTCTCACTACCCACGCCGCAGCCACTTTCTGGTCTAATGGAACAGAGGAAGAAGGCTCAGCCTGCGGCACGTCGGGCTGCGCCACGGGCCAGGATGCTGACGCCCCCCCGCCCCCGCACTGCACTGCCTCGCTCCAGGCTGCTCGGCTTCCACACCAGCTCCTGCTACTGTGCCTAGGAAGGCAGCAGATGGTGCCCAAGGGCTTGGACTTCTGCCACCCACGTAGGAAATCCGGCTGGAGCTCCACGTTCCTGGGTTTGGCCTAGGCCAGCCCCAGCCACCGGAGCCCTCTGCGGAGTGAACCAGCGGATGAAGTCTTTCTCTCCTCCCTCCCTCTCTCACGCATACACAGCCTTGCAGATAAATGAGTCGCAGTTCCCAGACAGGGCAGGAGCACCTTGGCTGGGTCCCAGGGAGGAAGAACAGGAGCAGGCCGAGGGCTGGGGGCGACCAGCACAGGCCGGTCAGGGTGGGCACGCTGTGCGCACTCGGGGCAGAAGGTGCCCATGACGATCTGGAACTTGTCCACAGGGACACCTGCGGGCCAGGAGGCTTCTCTGGAACTGGGCTCCAGGCAGCCTTCTCCAGCCAGAAACCAGCTTCCAGGGGCACCAGAGACCCCGCACCCCATTCCTCAGTCTCTAAGCAGCAGGGAGTGTCCAGCCAGACACCTGCAGCAGACTAGAAATCCAGTCCTCCTAGAGCAGGCTATTTTTTAAGCTAAGAATTCTGTATTGCCTATAAATCATGTTATAAATGTTATAAACATCCCGAGCTAAGAAAACAGCATTCATACTCAGACATCCTGGACAGGAGAGTCCTTTGACATCCTTGTAGCAAAACTCCAAGGTGTGCCCGAGCCCACGGAAGTCCACGTGGACCTGCTCTGTCCAGCCCCACTCCCACCGCGGAAAACGTCTCCGCGGCCGTGCCGTGCCGTGCCGTGCGGGCGGGGACACTCACCTTCTGGGCGCTGGCCTCCTTCTGAATCTGACTCTGCCGCAGCTTCTTCAGCAGCACGAGCTTGGCTTCTTCTAACCGCAGCTCCTCCTTCAGTTGCTTGATCATCCGTTCTCGCTCCTCGGGGCTGCTCTTCTGCAAGGGCGGGAGAAGGGGGCTGAGGGGGGCCCGAGCAGGGACCCTGCACCACCGGGCCGCGGGAGGGCGAGGCGCGTGGGGCCGGGCACGGCCGGGCTCACCAGGAGGGCCTCGGTGCTGGTCTCCTTCGCGGCCACCGTGGCCAGCCCGTTCACGCGCGGGCTCGCGGGCTGCTCGCTGTCGGAGAGCACGATCACGTCGGGCGAGGGCGGCCTCCTCTCGGACTTCATGTCGCTGCGGGGCGGAGACAGCGGCCGTTGCTGGGACACTGCAGCCACACGGCCCCGCAAAGGCCCCAGGACCGCTGTGTGCCTGGCGCTCTCCCTGGGCAGCCTCCACATGGCCCCCAGCGCCCCCCTCCCCGCCGCTGCACCCAAACCTGTGGCTCACAGCCGGCCCCGTCCTCAGTGACAGCTGGGTCCCCGAGGCGTCCTGCCCTGCCGTGCGGCTTGGCACTGGGTGAGAACGGCCGGCTGCGGAGGGAGGGGCCGCAGCGGCCTCTTGGACTGCTCCCACACGCCGTGCGCACCACGGCAGCCCACCTGCCCCCGGGAGAGCTAGACACTTGCTCAGGTGCTACTGGCCTGCACTCAAAGGCAGACACGGGAGCTCACCACCTCACGGTGGCCAGAGAAAGCCTGCGGCAAGTCCCTCTGCGGCCACATACGGCGGTGCCAGCTTCATGCGTTGACCCGTGTTTTCTCTGCTACCCTTCTACTCACCGACTGGTTTCTGGGTGCCCCTGCCACCCCTGAGAGTGGACGCCAAGGCCACTCCCCCTTTTCTTGTGATTAACCTGCTCGCCAGCACCTGCGGCGCCTCTTCTCGCCAACAGGAGCGGAGCATCATGGGGGCGGGCGGGGCTGAGAACGAGCGTCCACTCCATGCTGGCTGTGGTGCCCACGGTGCCATCTGCCCTGAGCAGGGACAGGCCAACGGCTGCTGTTGCCCTTCCTGGGGAGGATCCTCTGAGACGTGTGTGCACCTGACACTCCCGAGGCCAGCATGAACTCGAGCTACGGTGCTGTGTGGCTGACCCACACAGGGCACCCAGAGATGGTGCTCTGGTGCCCCCCCAAGCAGCCCCATCAGCTGCCAGCAGCTGCAAACCTTCCCTTCACACTTAGGTACAAAGCCTGCCTGCCTTGGCGGCTGACAAAGCACACCACTAGGTGGCACTGTGACCCAGGAAAACTCAGATGAAGTTAACCAGGAGCAGCTCCGCTCAAAGTTATCCCGGCTTTTTCCAGGAGGCCCGGCGGAGTGAAGACAGTTACAAGCAACTTGACTGGGCTGTATGGGGAGAGACCCCGTTTCCACGCCAGCAGGCTGTACCCCCAGGGGAGGCGGCAGCAGGGACCAGAGGCTGAGGCCTAACAAGCTCTACCCTGGACTCGCCAGTGGCCCGGCAGCCACTGCCCCCACAGTCCTCGGATCCTTCCTCATCCCCCCTCGAGCTACGTGGCGGCTGCACCTGAGCACCAGGCCTGGCCCGGCTCCACCTGAGGAGGAAGACGGCTGGCCAGCCTCTCAGGGAGCCCAGGAGAGTGGACAGAAAGGCGCCCGTTCCGACACCTACCGGTCCTGACACAGGGCGCTCAGCTCGCATTCAGGGTGCAGTGACCCGGGGCGTCTCTCCTGGCTCTATGATGCCTCTAGGGTGCCCTGGGGCTCCCGTTCCCGGCTCTCTGGATGTGCAGGTGGGCTCCACGTGCCACAGAGCCAAGGAGACCCAGCCCCTGGCACGGAGCTGCAGCTGCGGTCTCGCCCCGCGGGCTCCCGGGGGCACTCACACATCACAGACGCTTCCTGGGCAGGCGCGGGCTGAGGCAGCACCACCCCACAGGGGTTTAACTCTATCACCTTACGGAGAGAGCAAGCCCCTTCTAGAGGTGAGATGTCCAACAAAACTCAAACCTGCCCGGAGGAAGAGCGCAGGGCAAGGGGCCCAGCACACCCAGAGGCTGAACGTTCCCAAGAGGCCTCCTGGACCACGGCGCTCCCTGGCCCTGTCTTGGCCAGAGACTAATCAATAACTCATCCAAGAGGTGACGTCACCGCCCATCAATGATCACTCAGCATCCCAGCAGCCAGCAGGGAGTGAACTTCCTGTATGCTAATCAGGCCACCAAAAAGTCACATGACAAAGGCATTTCCCTCCGTGGTCATGTGACCCTTTAACTGTGCCTTCCAACGTGAAAACCATGGCAACGGCCAGTTGGAACCGGTTTGTGACACGCAGCCTTCATTTTGAGAAGGGAGGTAAGGGTTCAGGTGCTATCAGAAAATGGAGGCGCCAGGCTCCCCAGGGGCCGCTGACTGCAGGCACTTCCTGTGTCAGTCAGCCCGCAGGGGCCCTGCTGGGCTCCGGGACACCTCTGCCACACACACAGGGCCGGCCCCTCTAGTTCCCAAGGTGGGAAACTTTCCTCCAGGAGGAGAACTCAAGCCTCCGCAGGACTTTTTCTAGAGTGCTAATTCCGGAAAAGAGCAGTGGCTCCCAGTGACCACAGGCGAGATTCTGGAAAAACAATTCCTTAATTATAAAAGCCAGCAGAACAGAGGCACAGGACTTGAGCTCACCCAGCATGGGGTGTGTGAGGGGCTCGTCCGTCCCAGTCGGGAGCAGCGCCTACCCCCGCCTGACCCAGAGACTGTGTGACATCCCAGGCGTCAGATGAACTTGTCCTGCCCGTCTTGAGCAGCTTACATAAAACACAGTGACCCACAAACTCGCCACAAGCAGGTCAGGCTGTTATCAGCACAAAGGCTCTCGGCACCTCCTCCCTCACACGACACAGGAATCTGTTACCTGCCAGGAACTTCCGGTCACTGGCGGGGAGGCCAGATCACCAACTTCCACGACACGCAGGGTTCCCCGGTGCGCGGTTAATGTTTAGTGTCCCTCGGCCTGCGCCTGGTGTGCAGGACCCATGTAGCCCCCGCCCTCCGTCATGAACTCCTCGTTCACATCTGTGGAGACGCACCGCAGCAGGAGTGCACCAGGCAGTGGGGAGAGCCCCGGTTCAGACACAAACGAGCAGGGGCGGACATGTGCGAGGGGCGGGCCCCTTGCAGTCTGACCAGCAGCGTCAACGCCCAGCCCCTGCCTGACCACAGCCTGCACCAGAGCCCGAGATTCTTGCACACGCACGGGGCCTGAGGAGGACGAGAAATCCTGCTCAGGACCAGCGCCGCTCCCCAGCACCACTGCCGTGGAACCCTGGAGGCCTGGGGAGCTGGGAGAGGCGACTGGCTGACGGCCGTGTCTGAAGGCAGGGTGGGGGCTGCTCCACCTGTCCCTCTGCAAGCACTCCCGTGGGACACTCCCCCACGCCGGGCAGCCCTTCGCACCTCCTAGGCTCTCACCAGGAGCCCTCTGCAGCACAGGACGACAGCTGGGTCTGCTCCTGCAACCACAGCCCACTCCCAGCTGGGCCAGGGCTCCCCTCTGCCCAGGTAGGGGTGACCTGCCGGCAGACCAAGCTCTAGGCGGTCCCCAGAACTCAGCAGGCAGCACCACCACAGACTCCTAGGAGGAGAGGCTCTGACAGGACTCGGCCGGGAAGGAGCTAGGGGTGCGGGAGCAGCGCTCGGCCCCAGCGCCCTCCGGGAGGGGCCTCCAGGACTTCAGAAGCAGCCAAGCACCTCCTGTGCCTGCACCAGCCTTGCACACAGAGGCCAGCGACACCTGTAGACCGACCGACACGCTCTCCCACACAGCTGCTGTGCTCAAGGGAACGCAAATCTACTTACAAGGATTTCTGAACCCTGGATCTAATTAAGCAGTAGGCCCTGGAAGTCCAGTCCCTACCCTGCGAGTCCGCGGACGCCCGCAGAAAATGAGGAGCCCCACTCAAGACTGACAAAACTCCTGTACCCCCAGGCCACCTCTGCAGAGCCCCGAGAAGGCACGCAGCGCCAGCAGGGGGCAGCACAACGGCCCGTTCCCAGCCCTGCAGCCCTGCCCAGGATGGCTTCCCTGCTCCATCTCTGGGCAGCGCAGCAGCCTCACAACTCGCGCCCAGGCCCTTGGGATGCTTGTCCAGCTGCCCCAGATCAGGACAGTGCAGGCCGCCTGAGCCAGCAAGGGGAAAGAAAGGGAGCAGGCACAGAGACGCACCTGGCTGCTGCACTTGGGTGAGCAACGGAGCCGCCAGGAGCAGCAGCAGCAGCGCCCGGCCAGCCAAGCCAGCAGTGCGTGCGTACATCTGGGCTTTAAACCACTAAAAGCTAATGGGCCGACAGTCCAGCCAGGACAGTCACTAGGGAGCCAGCCACACCCCATCCCTGTACTTCCCACTCACACTGTCCACCCACTCTACATGCTATCCCAGGGACAATAGGGGAGTCAGCAAGGAAGTCCAAGGCTTACCTACCCCCCCCCCCCCGCAGACCCACAAGCCCCTGTCAAGGGGCCACCAGCAGCAGGGTCCTGCACACAGCTGCTGCCCGAGGCCGATGCCTGGCCCGCCATGAGCTGGAGGAGCAGCTCTAGGCTGGGAACATCAGAGCTGCACGCGCAAGGCACTGGATGAAGCCGGTGACTGGGCCCAGGGAGGCGCCGTGGCTTCAGGCACTGCCAGAAACAAGCCCACATGCTCCTTCAATGAGCTCTCCCACCCCACCCCACCCACGAAACACTTCTAGAAACTTCAAATGGAACAATTACAGCCTCCCCAGCTTTGTCCTACCACTGGACGCATCTCATCTCCTTACCACACCCCCCAGCCCTCGGGTCTCAGAGAGAAGCTGACATGATTAGATAGGGAGCCCGGAGGCTCAAAGTCAAACCCCCGCCCGTCCTGGGGGCCGGGAACACCGATGGGCTGGGCATGTGCTCCCCTCCCCAGACACCCCCGCCTTTCTCCAGGGACCCTGGAGTCCACCTGCTTCTCGCCAGCCTGCCCCCCTTCCTAGCATCCATTACCACTCCTCCCAGCCCGTAACCTGAGATGCTCCTGGCTGCCTGGTGGGGGCTTCTCCGGCACCAAGGCCGAGGAGGTAAGCAGCTGGGATGGGATTTTTGAAACCCAGCCATCACTCTTCCTGGAGACTTCAGCTCCAACAACCACTAGGGGACTCCATTATGCAGAGCCCCGCCATAGTCACGGCCATGGCCAGACCTCCCGGGGGAAAAGGAGAGCACACATGTGGCCATTCCAATCCCTCCCCTGAACTAAGAGCGGCCTCAGGCCGCCAGCTGCAGAGGGGGAGCCCCACGCAGCGACTCC